AACTAACAAGATTTCAGTTAAAGAATATTGATAGGTTAGAGACCGCATACAAAGTGTTCCTTAAAAAGTTAAGGGGACAGATTTGTGGCATTACTTTTTAAAACAATTTTGTACACATGTTTTTGTGGGGTTCACTTCGTAATGTATAAACTAAAGATAAATTTAAATCAAAAGAACACGTGTCACTGAAGTAGATATGTCAAAGAGAGGCCACAAAGAGTTTTGGGTGCATAAAGTTTGAACTCAAATAAAACATGAAGGAAAAAAATAACAAATAGTTTATAGCTCAGTTGATTAAGAGCATTCGCTCATACAATTGAGGTCCTGTGTACGAATTCACTGCCTAATAGTTTAGATGACAAAGTATCTATTGACTAAATGTGAAATTACATATGTAGGACATCCAAAATCTAGTTTTCGAGTCGGTAAAGATTGATGAATTTTCACCAAGTTTTAGGTGATCATGATATATGGTAGGTGCAAGTAATAAACTTCCATTTTAGTTCTTAAAGTTGGTAAAGGAGAAGGAGGTCACTGTCATGAGGTAGGTTCAGTTTGATCATCTTTGACTACATGAGCCGCCCATGAAGTTTCCTTTCATTTCACAACATTCACTTCTGGGCTAAATTTCATAACCTTCCTTTTGGACCTATTATTTTTCAAATTTTCTTATCCAATAAGCGCAGCCCGTTACATATGAAAATATTTTACTTATTTAGAATGAGAGGAAGTAAGGAATCGAGAATTTAAGAATAAGAGAAGTATGGAGTTCTTAATTGATTTTGTTTATACCATATTTAGGGTCTCGTATTTAGATCTCGTACAAATACTCGGGGGACTTAAATGTAATTATGTGATAAAGGAATGGAAAAATATGTAATAAGTGAGGAGTCCTTATTCTATAAAAGGACCCATCACCCTCACAATTGAGGGAGGCCAATTCCCAGGCCCTCTCACCCCCTCTCAAAGCTCTCACTCTTAGAGCTCTCTCTCCCTCAAATAAATACATAATCAGTGTGGACGTATCACAAACCTTGGCGTGAACCACGATACATCTTGTGTTATTTACATTACTTGCGGATTCACGATCGGATTTACGTTGTTCCAAGACCTCAAGTTTTGTGCATCAACATTTGGCGCAATCTGTGGGAATCGACATGAAAAGCTGTGTCAGTTCTCTTTCATTTCTTTTTCATCTCACCATTGTGAAAACTTCACGACCTCCACCGTGAATCTGCAGAGAAATCAGATGTTGACCGACTTTGATCTCTCATTAACAACCACAGATCTAACATCAATGGCTCAAGTTGTTTTTGATCGGGACCCACCAGTCACCAACCATTCTGATAATCCCAACAAGCCAAACTTTGGCATATCATCATGCATCCTACCAAGTCGTATAGTCCGGGCCGCACCATACACACACCCAAAACGCAAACGCAAGAAGAATTCAGGCTACCGTCTGATGCTTGAGATCGTGGCAGAGCCTATCAACGTCCGGTCAATGGTACACTATGAGGGAGCTGGAAAGTTGAATGAGGTAAAAACACCTTCTGTTACTGCTTCTGCTTCGGCAACAACAAATGTGAAACCGCCTAAAGCCACATCTAGTTACTTCAAAGTCTTCTCCGACCCATCATCTTCATGGCCGCCAGCTCCAGGCCTGGCGTTTCTTTTGCCCCACAACACTCATCCTCCCTCACCCCGGTCCTGTCTCCCCAGGACAAGCCCCCTCTCTCCAAGTCCTAAACCGTCAGCACTGTTGCCGCCACTCAGGTCAACTTCATGCGTGTCATCGTGGAGCATTCGCGGGAACTTTATGGTGGCAGCGAAAGCCTGCGATGTGTGGCATGGGGTTTAGAGAGAGTGGCATGGTCGTTGCACTTGCTCTACGTGTTGTATCAGTCTCTCTCTCTTTGCGAGAATGGAGGTCAGAAGAGGAACTCTCTGGAAACAAAAGTTTCAAAAGCTAGCTACCAGCCATACATGGCTGAAACTTCTTCCCGAACAAGAAACGCCGCCCTGTTTCTGTTGAAGACGTTCGATCTGCTAGAAGAACAAGATGTCGGAGGAGATGATGGTGGGAAGAGGAATACTGTGTCATGGAATGTAGAGGGCACTGGATTTATAGTATGGTCTCCTGCTGATTTCTCAGAGCTCCTGTTGCTTAAATATTTCAAGCACAACAATTTCTCCAGCTTCATTCGCCAACTTAATACCTATGTCAGAAGAGAAGCTTGATAAGCTTTAAGGAACTCAACCTCTGAGCATAACAATGAGTGTAAAGGAGTACGTGCGGACTGAGTTTCTAAAACTGGAACAAGAAACCATCCTCCCTAACAAGCAACTTTTTCCTTCTCTCGTCGCACTGGAAGAAGAAGTGCTCATTCCACTACGGGTTCTGGGATTTTCTTCATGACACGTGCCCCTTCATTTTTCACCTTAATAAAGGGTGGGAGAATATTATGGAGCTTTGGCGGTGGACTCGTGGACCATGTAGCAGAAAAAAGAGAAAGCAAAAGCGGAGATAAGATTCTTTGCTTAGTATTAAAATCTATTATCATTCCTTGTCTGCCATACTCATCAGGATCAAGAAAAGCAGAAAAGCAGTGGGGAACAAAGCAGAAAAAAAAAAAAAAGGCAAAAGCAAGGAATAAACACCCCACCAAAGTGATGTGGTTTACTTTCCTTATTTTTGAATGATGTAATTTATTTTTCGTATCTTTCGAAGATATCTGTATAAACCCCATCAAAGGGTAATAGTAAAATAAAAAAAATAAAAAATAAAAAAAAATAAAAGGCAAAGCCCAAAATAAATGGGCTGGAATGTTATATGGAGGGCGAAGGCCCATAAGCCCAAAATAGCACCAACCAGGTGACCAAAAGTACGCCCAGTACTCCAAAATTATTTGGCAACCTGCCGCTATTACCACCAACCAGGTGATCAAAAGTACGCCAAGTACTCCAAAATTATTCTGCAACCCGCCATTATTACCACCAACCAGGTGATGAAATGTACAACCCGTACTCTAAATATCATTTGGCAACTAGCCATTCATGCCACCAACCAGGTGATGAAATGTACAACTCGTACTCTAATATCATTTGGCAACTAGCTATTCATGCCACCAACCAGGTAATGAAATGTACAACCCGTACTCTCCTTCATGCCACCAACCAGGTGATCAAAAGTATGCCCAATACTTCAAATTATACATGAGCATTACTCATGTCAATCATACATAAACATTCATGAGCATCACTTATGTCAACATTCATGAGCATCACTCATGTCAACATCCATGAGCATCACTCATGTCAATCAACATAAACATTCATGAGCATTACTCATGTCAATCATCTTCAAAAGCTTCATTTACAAAAGCTCTAGCTTCAAAAGCTTCATTTACAGAGCTCCAACTTCAAAGCTTCACTTACAAAGCTTCACCTGCAAAGCTTCAATGCAGGGTATACAAATACCGCCTCCGAACAACCGCCACTTCGGCCCATACATGGATTCAATTTGAAGTCTCCAGCCAACATACTCTATTGACCGAAGACTTGGGGGACTACACTATACACTATATATTGGGCCTCAACTGGGCCTCATGAAAAATACTTGGGGGACTTAGCCCATTATCTATGTACTGAGGAGCGAGCCCTTATTCTATAAAAGGGACTCCCTCACTTTCATTAGAGAGCACTCATAAAAAATACTTGGGGGACTTAGCCCATCACTTATGTATTGAGGAACGAGCCCTTATTTTATAAAAGGGACTCCCTCACCTTTGTTAGAGAGCATCGCCACCAGCTGAGCAACCGCCTCGCCGCGAGCATCAACTCTAGCACATTATTCATGTATTGAGGAGCGAGCCCTTATTTTATAAAAGGGACTCCCTCACCTTCGTTAGAAAGCATCGCCGTCAGCTGAGCAACCGTCTCGCCGCAAGCATCAACTCTAGCACATTATCCATGTATTGAGGAGCGAGCCCTTATTTTATAAAAGGGACTCCCTCACCATCATTAAAAGAGCATCGCCGCTAGTTGAGCAACCGCATCGCTGCGAGCATCAACTCTTAGCCCATCACTTATGTATTGAGGAGCGAGCCCTTATTCTATAAAAGGGACTCCCTCACCTTCAACGCCACAAGCCGAGCCAACCAAGGCAACATAAGCCACGAGCCTAGCAGCCTCGCAACATGTGCTACTTCTAGTTGAGCATCATTTCATATTGAGCACCGCCTCATATCGAGCATCAGTTCAAGACAACATCTAGTTACTTCGGCCCACACATGGACTGAATTTCAAGTCTCCAGCCAAAAGATTCTATTGACTGAAGACTTGGGGGACTACTTTTTATACCATATTTAGGGCCTCGTAATTAGATCTCGCACAAATACTCGGGGGACTTAAATGTAATTATGTGATAAAGGAATTGGCAAATATTTAATAAGTGAGGAGTCCTTATTTTATAAAAGGACCTCTCACCCTCACAATTGAGGGAGGCCAATTCCTAGGCCCTCTCACCCCCTCTCAAAGCTCTCACTCTCAGAGCTCTCTCTCCCTCAAATAAATACATAATCAGTGTGGATGTAGCCCAAACCTTGGGGTGAACCACATACATCTTGTGTTATTTACATTACTTGCGGAATCACGGTCGGATTTACGTTGTTCCAAGACCTCCGGTTTTGTGCATCAACCGATTTGATTTTTAATTTTTCGATATTAGATTATGAAATTTAAGGAAAAAGAATGAGAATTATTCTCATTCATCTCATTCCCTATAAATAAACATAATACTAATTTATGTATTCAAATATGCTAATTTTTATCATTAACTCACAGTTTAACAATGCGTAAAATAAATTACAGTTACAATTTCAGCAAACTCATGTTCTTCAAGTAGCTCTTTCGATTTTTTATTACTCCTACACTTTAGCAAAACCACATAAAAGAGAGAAAAAATCCTCCTAAATAAAAGATTACGGAGAGCAAAAATGTAAATGGAAATCAAGAGTGATTAATTAGGCCACAAGACAGCTCCATAAGGAGGATTGCAGCTTCAGCAACATCCTGTGGAAACACTCGTTGAAAGCCCAAACCTTTGAAACAAATCTTATTATTATTACTATTAATTTTGTTGTTGGGAGGTACTGATGGAGTGTCGGTGACGATGAGCTTGCTCTTGTTCTTGCTATGGCTTCCCCGCGGTTTCTTCTCCTTGTTGGCCACCTTACCCTTGGCAGATGAAGTGTCAGTGGCGCCGACTACAAACCCATTTGCAGCAGCCGCCGCAGCCTCTGCCATGGCTTTTCTCGCTTTCCTCTGTCGAATTCCACATGCATTGCACAGCGACTGCAACAAACACATATACACACAGATGAATAGACTTAATTCAAGAGCATATTATATCTAGCCAAACACGTATTTTCTTATTTATCTATTGTCAAACAGTAAATTAATTTGAACCATTAGTCATGTTTATTTTTGTGTCAGTATGTTCGGTTCAGATTCAGTCTCACAATATAAAAATCTTACAGACAGTAACTACCTTGGGGCCGCGAGGACCGCTCCTCCAAAGTGGCGTTGTGTTTGTGTTACAGTCAGAACAAACCCTAACAGCTGGAGTAGTTTTGTTGTTATTTCTGGAAAAGCTGGTTTCGTCACTGTTTTCTTGATACTGAACAACTCGGAATTTATGCTCAGCTATCTCCGCAGCTGCAGGTATATGATTTCCAGTGGTACCGGCCGGCGCGAGATCCGGGTTGGTCATCTCTTGCATCAACCCCATCTTGGAGGACATCCATTTTACCGCCCTTGGCCTAATATTATTATTACTTTTACCCTCCTCTTCTCCTCCTCTACCATTGATCTCCCTTTCATGATCAGCATATGCCGACATTAATCTATGGTCCTTGTTGCCTATAACGTCCACCACATGAGGCTGAACTAAAGAAGATGACTTGGATGCTTGATCATAAGTTCTTGTTCCACAATCCCGTATGTGCTTATCAGCCTGAGATAAAAATAAATAAATAAATAAAAAAATTAAAAAAAAAAAAAAAAAGAAGAACAAACGTGGCTTTTGGCGTCTCGTACAAAAGTCTTTATTAACTTACTAATTAACTGATTAACAATTTATCTAATGTAATTATGAGTGTGTGTCGTACATGCATGTGACAATCATACAAATGATACAAAACACTAAAAATTAGAGAACGAATATCGCTTTTGGAGTCTCGGACAAAAAATCAATCTTATATATGTATATAGATGGTAGCTAATTCTGGAGAACGAATAATTCATTTGCCTATTAGTTTTAACTTTTATCTAAGAAAAACCCATCAAAATTAATCAATTATGAGATCATCAGATCACAGAAGTACCAAGTTTGATCATGGACTCGTGAAGAATCAATTAAAGGAAGATCGAGCTATATGAAAATTTAATTAAGATAATTAAGTTTAATATATATGTTCGTAGCTATATGGCTAGGTTTTCTTACCTTGTGATGGTATAATAGTGATTGATCATGACCAAGAGTAGTGGTAGTAGTAGTAGTGCTAGAACTCCCAGCTCTTTGATCTTCAAAGGAGTCGAAGAAAGTAGGAAATGATGAGATCAGAGAAGAACATGATGAAGCTGCAGCTTGATTAGTATATGATGATGATATAAAAAGTTTCAGGCGTTGTTCCTGATCATTTGCTTGCTCGACATGGGAGAAAGGAGAGGGTGGTGGGTTCAGATAGACTGGAGTCATCATGTGAGGGAGAGAGAAAGAGAGAGATCTAGAGAGAGGAGAGAGGGAGAGAGATCTAGAGAGAGAAAGAGAGGGAGAGAGATCTAGGGCGAGAAAGAGAGGGGTTAAAAGGGTGTTGTGTGTCGAGTGTCCAGCAAGGGAGGACAATATGAGATAGGGTAAAGGCTGATCAAAAGGTCCTGAGATATTCTGAAGTCTTATAAGAGAGAAAGAGCAAGAACCCGAATAGAGAGAGAGAGAGAGAGAGAGAGCTGAAAGGCATTCACGTGACATCGTGTCAAGAGGACTCAGATAGATAGATAAACAAGCTGCTGCTGCTGCAAGAAAATGACAAATACAAAGGAGGTGTTGACTGCTACTACTCGCGATGGCACTCCAGTACAGTATGTATGACAAACCCTATTAATTTTCTGCGGTTTTCACCCCCCACTATTTTATACAACTTGATAATAAAAACTTCATCAAATACATACATACAACACACAACATGTAAAACTTTACCGCATGTAAAAATCTATTTATCATGTGCGTGTGGTGTGAGTGTGTGGGTCTTAGCTAGGGTTTTAGAGGTTCAAGTATCTATAATCATCACTGTTATTCCTCTGTGCACTGTTAACATCTTCTAAGTAAACTCTTACAAGTAGTGACCGCCAATACACTTTTTTCTTGTTTAGAGTATACGTAATAAGATCTTAATCTTTTCGTAATAATAATACAATCTTATTCCACTTCTCAAACTAGCAATAGCTAGAAGATCTTATATATGTATTGTTTTTCCAATTTCGAGTTTAAACTCTGAGCGTTCACAATTCAGTCTAACTAATATGTGAGGATGTAGAAATGTGTCACATGGATGGTTGGGAAGGTTTCAGCCAATTAGATCTTGTAACAGCCTAATATATGCTCGGCAACAAAGTGAAATTTCAAAGAAATTGAACCTAGAAAACTGTTCAGATATATATGAAGAGATGGGTATGGAATGGAATGTATATGGATAGCCTATTTGCATATGGGAGCGTCTCTCATGATCTCATCCTTAACTTAACCTTGCCAAAACTCATCAAATGCTGGCACAGGCTACAGGCAGTGACAACCTCTCTCTCTCTCTCTCTCAGACACCCCCCCCCCCCCACCACCCTGCCATCACCCTCGATTTTACTTTCAATTTCTGGTATTTTTCTGATATTTTCATTGCTCATCTTTATATTTCGATCTCCCTTTGTCCCTTTTTTTTTAGGAAAACTAACGAAAAGTTCAAAAAAACTTCTCTTTTCACGAAAAATCATTTTTAAAGGTATAGTAAATAATGTCAATTAAAGGTAAAAATGTGATTTTTCGTTAAAAGTGAACAGTACAGGAAGTATTTTGTTAAAACTCCTTTTTTTTTTTTTTCTCACTGATGACCAGGTCACATGGAACAAGCAATGATTACTTCATCTGAAGGATATATGAAGGCAATTTCATTAAATTCATTTATTTAGTCGTCTCACAAGATTTTTCCGTTAATTCTTGTCCGTTTCTATTTCATTTTCCCCAATACATACATCGTCAGAGAAAAATCGTTGCCGCATTTTATAAGATCACATTTGGTTTATACAGTGGTGCAGGACCAGGGGACCCCTTTTAAATCTAAAGCTGGCTCCGAGCACAATACCACTTGATGAGGTTTGTTCCACGGACAAAGGATTGTCTGCACTCCTTGTTCCCGTGCCCTCACTACTACAATATAGGCTATCACCGGCGGACCAAAAACCGACAAGAAACCCGATTTCTGTCGGAAATTTGGCAAAAATCCGACATAAAACACTGCAATGTCGGATTGGAATAGCGACGCCATTGCTACCGTCACTAAAGGGCTTCAGTGTCGCTTTGTTCGCTTAATCCGCCACTAAGCAGCGTCGGTTTAAAGCGACGCTGATGTTAACGTCGGTTTAAAGCGACGTTACATAACAATTAAATAAATAAAATATGCAAACTAGTGACGGTTTAAGGCGACGTTAGAGAACAATTAAATAAATAAAAGCGACGTTAGAGAACAATTAAATAAATAAAATATGCAAACTAGTGACGGTTTAAAGCGACGTTAGAGAACAATTAAATAAATAAAATATGCAAACTAGTGACGGTTTAAAGCGACACCACCTTTGGTAATAATAATAAAAAAAAAGCCAAAATCTGTTTCTGTATTTGTTCTCAAATATTATAACTCAAAAAAAATTATATAATCGAAATAATAAATTTCAATTTTAGGCCAAAACAAACAATAATAAAAATAATTCAAAAGAAAAATAGTGCCATAATATACAAATGTTTTACATCTAACATTCCATATAATTTACAAAAATTCATCCTCCACATTTATTTAAAATTAGATACAATTCTTCAAAATGGACAATACATTCAAATTCTTGCCACTGCGGAAGCAGAGATTGTAGACAACCCAACTGCGGAATCGGCCTGAAATTCAAAAATATTGGAAAAAAATGTCAAGAGCTTTGCTTATTTGAGGAAAAACCCAATTGAGAAAACGACCTGAAATCCAAAAATTCGACAATGACCAATTGAAAATTTCCCAAAGACTGAGAATTTTACAGGTTTGAAGGGCTTTGCGTACCTTGAGAGATTGATTGACAGGCGGGTGGAGGGGAGAGAAGACATGGGAGTGGCCTTGAACGCTGGTTTGTTGACGGCAGATTTGAGAAGAGAGAAAGCCGGCTTCGAGAAAGATTTGCAGCGAGAGGCCATTGGAGCACTGGGCGGAGAAATAGCGGAGTTAGGATTTTGGGGTTAACAGTCACAGCAGTTGGAAGTTGGAGAGGCAGGGGTATGGCTGAAATGGAACACTTGGAACAGTTAGTCATCGTTTACTGCCCCTGGCTGGAAATTGATGAAGCGGGGAGCGTTACTAGAACTGGTTGACTTTCGATTTCCTGTTTTGTTGAAGCTTAAAGGACCTACCATCGATTCTTCAGTCTTTGTTCTCTTCCAAAAATTACTTAAGCTGCTGTTAAGTTGGTGATCTTTGCTCGTACCAAACCCAGGCACAATACTCAAAACCCAAAAGAGAGCTCTGCATGAAAAGACCTTTCTGCGCACCAATATCACTCTATGAACGGCCGTGTCTGCTTGCCCCGGAGCTCACATTTCGAATTCGAATTCCCGGGTTTTCTCAGAACTGAGATTTACAGGTAGTGAAGCAGAAATCTCGTGAGGATCAGGCTGTTGTTATCGCCGGTCAGCTCCCGGATGGCGAGGAAAATTGCGAAACCTGTTGTCGCGGTTGAGGATCCCAGAAGGTAGCGTGTAATAGACGGGTTCCATTTGTGATTATACAAGTTGAGGGAAAGAGTAAGGCTGAAATGGGAGAAAGAGAAGGAGAAGGAGTAAACCAGAGGAGAAATATAAGAGAGAAATGGAAGCGCAGAAGTACTGGGAAAGACGAGGTTTAAATATGGATAAAAACTTAGTGTCGGTTAATACCGACAGTAGCTACAACTTGTGTTGAACAATGAACACCCTACGTCGGTCAAAACCGACGTAATATCTGACAAATGATAAAAATTGCTTGCGTCGAAATATGATGACTTTGCGTCGGTTCAAACCGACACTAGCTCTGACACACTTTTGAATGAAAGGTCTGACATTTTTTTACTGACAGGGTTGTGTCGGATAAAACTGACGTTAGCTTGATAGATTTGTGTAGCGTCGAAATAATGAGAGTTTGCGTCGGTTTAACCGACGCCAACTCTGACACAGTCTGCAAGAGCTCGTCCAACCCATTTCCCCGTGCAAAAAAAAACCGGGAAAATTCTTTAAATTTGAATTTTTAAAATTTGAATCTTCAAATACCTTTATCTACCCGTTTTCTAATTAAAAACACATTATTACTAATCTTACCAATTTATCAAAAAATCAAAAGAAACATTGCCAGAGGTAGATAAAAAATTTGTGATGTAGGTAGAATTTATGATAGAGGTAGATTGTGAACAAAAACCTATTGTATAGATAGATAATACAAAATAATTTGTGATACATATAGACTATGAACAAAAACATATTGTATAGGTAGATAACACAATTAATTTGTGATAAATAGGTAGATAACACAATTAATCTTAGATAGATTATCAACAAAATATGTTATATATATAGGTAGATAAATACAATTATTCATGATACATGCACACAGTATAATATAAAAAGATTTAAAAAATGACCAGTGATATAGGTAGATACAAACAAAACAAAAAATCGTGAAGAAAAATGATATTGAGGGAGGAAACACTAGAGAAAATGCTAATTCGATAGAACTTCAAAGTTCAAAAAAATATAAAAAGGAGAATGAAGCCAAAAAAAAAATGAGACGAAGAACCCAAAACACAAGATTGACTAATGCAATTTCTTTAAAAAAATAATAATAATAAAAAACCAATCAAATGTATATTGATCATCCTTATGGAAGGAGGAGGAGAAGAAAAATATTATGGAAGAACATTACTGGGCAAAATAACGCAGGAAGAGAAAGATATGTGAGGGAGAAACAAGAAAGAGAATTGAAACAAGAAAAGAGAATGAACGGTTTGGGGAAGAAGAAGAAAAAAAAAAGGAGATTTAAATCCCTAATCCTATAATTAAGGATAAGATTAACATTAATCACAAACTTAACAAACAGTAATTACTTAATTGGTCAATTTAAGGGTAAATTTGGCAAGAGAATACAAATAAGCTTATGTGGACAATGAATCACTAGACCTAACCCATAAATTAAACAAAATTGGATTATAACTAATAATGGCTCATAAAATTGGACTAATATTAAGTTTCTCCTAAAATATAATCAGTTATTCATTGTAGATCGAATTCATTCATTGTATTCATATAGGGTCAAGGAGTGTAGCTGTAAAAAATCATCAAAATCGGAGTTAAAATAACTGTTAAATCGTGATTTTTTTTTTATAACCGTCGAAAAGCTTTGTCCTGTTACTTGATCTCTGAATGTTTGTTTTTTTTTTCATTTTTTGCTGATGTGATCTCGAAGCATATGTAAACAAGTTTTGACGGTTGGGATCGTTGAAATTAGTTTCGGAGAAATTCGTATCCCATCAAAAACAATAGATTGACCAACAATTAGAGTTTATTTATACTTTCATTAAGTATAACATAAGAATTTGTGGTATCCACTTGTGTAAATATTTTAATTTGAAGATCGAATTCATTCATTGTATTCATATAGGGTCAAGGAGTGTAGCTGTAAAAAAATCATCAAAATCGGAGTTAAAATAACCGTTAAATCGTGATTTTTCGTTTATAACCGTCGAAAAGCTTTGTCCCGTTACTTGATCTCTGAATGTTTTTTTTTTGTGATTTTTTGCTGATGTAATCTCGAAGCATATGCAAACAAGTTTGACGGTTGTGATCGTTGAAATTAGTTTCGAAGAATTCGTATCCCATCAAAACAATAGACTGACTAACACTTAAGAGTTTATTTATACTTTATTAAGTATAACATAAGATTTTGTGGTATCCACTTGTGTAAATATTTTAATTTGAAGATCGAATCCATTCATTGTATTCATATAGGGTCAAGGAGTGTAGCTGTAAAAAATCATCAAAATCGGAGTTAAAATAACCGTTAAATCATGATTTTTCGTTTATAACTGTCGAAATTAATTTCATAGAATTCGTATTCAATCAAGTTCAATGGTGTGTGTATATATATATATATATATTAAGTAGATTTAAATTTATTTATTTTGTATGTATAACACTTAAGAAATTGAATCGTATGTATATTTAAGCCAATCCAATGATCACCAATTTTTTAAAATCAAATTTAATATATATATATATATTTATATAATTATTATCGTTTTTAGGGATATAAAATTTAATTTAATATATATATATATATAATTTATGTTGCTTAAAAGCGACACTAGTATTTAAAAAATACTTTATGTCGCTTAAAAGCGACACTATTATTTAAAAATTATTAAATAATGTTTACGTCGGTTTAAAAGCGACATAAACATTTTATGACGCTTATAAGCGACAGTAAATCCGACGTCATGTTCAATTAGTGTCGCAACTGCCTAATCCGCCACTATATTAGATTAAAGCGACACCACCCTACGACACTATAACCCCCTTTTGTAGTAGTGCCTCCATGCTTTCCTATTTGTGTGGTCACTGTTAAGTCACGTCAACATTTTATATTACTATTCATTTTTGTCTTATTATCTCTATAAAAAAACAATATAAAATGTTGACGTGGTTTAACAGTAACCACACAAAGCAAGAGGGCACGGGAACAAGGAGCGCAGACAATCCTTGTCCTTGTTCCACAGTTTAACAATATATTGTTTTAGCTACTTCCGAATTAATAAATTTTGTTCAAAAAAGCAGTATAAACTCCACATCTACAGTACACACATACAGAAAAAAATTACCCCAAGTTACATGCATGTTAAAAAAATTAATCGGCAAAGAGTGGTAATATTCTCAAAATCGTGTGTCTGGATGAGGGACTTTAAAGTTCCATGAAACTAGTATATATAAATTTGTTAGGAATGAAGTTCAAAAATTTGATTGAGGGATTTAAAAATGCCAAGATGCAATACATTTGAGAAAACTTTCAATTAAATGATTCTCATAAACATGTTGTTCAAAAAGTTATTTGTTTACCTTGTTTGTAGTGCATATGTAATCTTTAGTAGAAGAATTCTAGTACTTAAGCACAATTGAGTCTAAATTTTTTTTGGTAGGTAAAAGTTCGTCATCCAAACATAAGGTCGAGAACTTATGCTAGACTTTCATCCTTGGAATCACTTGAATCTTGATCACACCCCATGAAATTATCTTGTTCGTACAATTAGTTATCGATTCCTATATCTAGTATGGCTTACTTCTTTTCCTCAACCATAACCATCATATCGATCGGATCCCATCTTATATATTTAACACTATCTCGATCACTAAGAGAAGAAGAAGAAGAATACAAATAGTGCTATCTAGATTCCTAATCACGACCATGAAATACCTAATCATGATCACAAAAGCTTAAAAAATCAACATCTTCGTTGTAATTCATGAATTTATGAGATCAAGAAACATGCTACGTAATATGAGTTGTGTGAGTAAGTAGTGTGCACGAATGTTTGAAGTTGATTGCTTGATTAATATTGTCATCATACGGCTACAGATCTATACATTATATATTTGTATATAGATCTCAGTTGATCATAATATATATCATTTAGCATGGAACAAAAATATGGGGGATGATTTTATATAGGAATGTAGTTATCATCAAAATCTTGGTTTTGTAATTGGGAAGAAATTTTTAGTTGTAACGGGAATACAAGTAGTACACCCCTTGTTTTAATAGGAATGGTGGGAAATTTATTTTTTAAGTTATTAATTTTTTAGCACATATATCTCACCATTTGTTTAGTGACACGTGATTTACCACTCCGTATACCGATCACACTAAAAAATCTTTCGTAATTGGGTGGACAATTTGAGCTACGTGACACGACGACTCCTTGTGTCGTTGCTTGGTGGGCATGCATGCATCGCTGTGTTTTGGCTTAAACCGTGTGGTAGCTTACCAAACCACAAACTAAATATTCATCTCCAGCCTCACAATTCGTTATCTTTACAAATTAGTGGAAAATTCGATTAAGTTATATTATGGGTAAATTACAGTTTATCCCTTCAAATTTGAGATCGATTGCAACTTTATATAATATTTTTATAACATTTCAATTTCATACATTTATTTTCATTTTATTTCAATTTCATAGATTTCGTTAAAAATTATGTTAAGTACACTGTTAATTGATGACGTGTCAATCAAATTTGTTCACATAAATAAAAAATAATAAACAAATAAAGTTTTTATTATTTAAATAAAAACAAAAATGAGTGAGCCCCACCCCCTTCAATTCTTCGTCAT